TCCTTCCCGGCGACTCCTTCCCGGCGACTCCTTCCCGGCGGCTCCACCCCGCGCCGCGGCTCTCCGGGGAGGGGGCGGAGGAGGAGGAGGAGGAGGAGGAGGAGGAGGAGGGGGATGAAGGGGGCGGGCGCGGCCCCCTCAGGGGCGCAGCGGGCTGAGGGGCGCCGCGGCCCCCTTGAAGCAGGCGGACTCGTAGTGCTTGTTGAGATAGGACTTGAGGGCGAAGGTCTTGCTGCAGCGCTTGCACTTGAAGTGCTTGAAGGCCGAGTGGGTCTGCATGTGGGCGCGCAGGTTGGAGCGGTCGGCGAAGGCTTTGCCGCAGTGGGCGCAGCCGAACGGCTTCTCCCCGGTGTGGGAGCGCATGTGGCCCTGCAGCAGCCAGGGCCGGCTGAAGGCTTTGCCGCACACCTGGCACTTGTGCTTCAGGTCGTGCGTCAGCAGGTGCATGGCCATGGCCGGCATGGAGACGTACACCTTGCCGCACGTCGGACACTTCTTGGCCATCTTGCTGTCCAGGCTGCGGTGGGTCTGCTTGTGGCGGCTCAGGTTGGAGGAGGTGGCGTAGCTCTTGCCGCACTCGCCGCACGTGTGCCGGGGCAGGGCCCGCGCCGCCGGCCCCGCCACCGCCTTGCGCCGCGACCGCCCGTCCGTGATGAAGAAGGCGTCCACGGCGTAGCCCTCGCTCACGGCCGCGTCGCCGTTGATGTACCCGCCGGCCATGCCCGAGTGGGGGCTGTCGGGGGGCTCCGAGTCCCCCGCGCCGAAGTCGCCGCGCCCGCCGGGGTAGAGGGCGGCCGGGGAGGGCACCTTGAGCGCGGCCTCGGGGTCCCCCTCGAAGGCCGAGGGCGCCATGTAGTCGCTGAGGTACCCTGGGGATGGGGGGGGGGAGAAAGGGGAGGGAGAGGGGAGGGGTCCGGTCAGAAGGGGGGTGGTGGTGGCGCTTGGGGGAGCGCCTGGCTGTGCCCCTGCCTGGCCCCCTGCCCGTCCTCCTGTCCGTCCCCCTGCCTGTCCCCCTGCCCGTCCTCCTGTC